CTCGCGGACGACTGAGAGCACAGACACTACATGATGACACCCTGACCCCAGCAGAAAAGATCTATAGTCTGTAGTAGCAACACACTGCGTGCATTTATGCTCTTGGACTGGCAGTAGCTTGACTGTACCTGTACACTGAACCAAGAATAGAGTGTAGCCTCTGAAAAGGACCCTCCAACTACAGGACACTGGTTCCTCCCTACAACAATGCACATTTTAGTGCTTTAGTTACCTTTGGAATAGGGACCACCTAAATACTTCCAACATCCCTAAAGTGAGAGTTTCACTGTAATCAAAAATTTTCAGGGGTGGGATGAGTTTTTATAAATTATATAATTTTGGATCAACCACCTTCCCCAAAAACTCCAAACTATCAAAAAATACGAATAAGTATGCAATACCTGGAGGTTATATGCAGTTTGCTGGACTGGTGAGAGGCTGACATGTCCACAGAGTGCCCGGGTTGTAGTCAGCAGAACACAAACCCTCCTCCAACGTTGTAGCCGTGTCCCCTGCCTCCTCTCTTGGTGGCCTCTTTCTTGGCCATCTGAGCTCCTTGCTCTCCTCTTCATCTCATCCCTAGCCTCCTTCTCCTGGACTGTGGCCAGAGGTAGAGAGGGAGGGTGGACACTTAACACATGGTATAGTTCATAGTGTATTGAAGGACTGCTCCATCTTTCTTTTAATCAACAAGCAAGTATTACAGTCGCTACCTAGTCAACTAATGGTTTTTTCTCACTACTCCATACTTAGTGATACCACACGTAGTACATATGTGTGTACATGTGTATTATGCTCTAATGTGATAAAGAGAGACTCTGTGTGTATGTGTTCATGTGATACTGGGACTGGTGCCCACCTCTCTGTGTTTGCTGTCTGTGTTTATTTACATACACCCCTGCATACAGAGATGTCCTGTGTACAACACGCACTCCACCACAACAATAACACTATGAGATGAGTGGGTGAGAGGTATAGAATGCTCCGCTACACGCCCTGTCTAGCTGGCTACGTGTATGTTAGTGAAATGTATGGCCATGGATTGTCTCATGCAAACCTTCCATCTTAGCTTTTACGCAATCAATCTAAGAATTTTATATCTGCGCATGCACACAGACAGAATGGGTAGTACCCTGCAGAATGCTCAACGAACAACCACACCCTACTGACGTTGTATTGTGACACCATGCTTTAGAGAAAACTAGAACACCTAGTATAGCATATATACAGTACATAGTTTCGTTTTTCCTCCTTCCATCGCACAGTGGCCCTCCTCCCTCTTTTCAAAACTTCATCGCCCTCGCCTCTTCTCCTCTCCTCCTCTCCCTCCCTCCCTTCCTCATGCCTCATAGACCTTCTCCTCGTGACTGTCCATCTCCGTGAAGGTCCGTATCTGGGCCAGGTTCCACATTCTCTCGGTATCCCAGGGCAACGATCTCATCAAAGGCAAAGATGAGGTCAAAGGCATTGTCCAATACATCTTGTTCGTCTAGTCTTTGGCAGTATTCTGGGATCTTGGAGAGCGGGAAGAGGAGGAGGAGGGATGGAGGGAGGAGAGGAGGAGGAGGAGGAGGAGGGAGGGATGGAGGGAGGAGGGATGGAGGATGAGGGAGGAGAGGGTAATTGTAGATAATGAGATGGAATGAAGAGAATGATTGAGAAAGGAAGGATATCATAGCAGACACAATTTGTTGCACATGCGGTGAAACAAGAGGAGAGAAAAGTGAGCTTGCTCTGTAAGGTATGAGGCATCAAAACGAGACTGGCAAGATGGTAGACAGGGAAATAGAGGCAGGATAGTGATCGGAACATCGTCTAAGGTGATATAGGGGCGGGGAAAGCGAACTAAAGGTGACAGACCACGATACCTACATGAGAAAAGGAGAAGAGAGATAAGAAGCTAGCTAGTCGAGGAGGACAAATTGTATGCAAACAGTGTCAGAGAGAGAGAGACGGACCACTCTAGAGAAGAGACGCAGGGTCTCGAGGTCCTCCAGATGTGAGTGGTCTTGTGGTCACCAGCAACATGTACAGTCTCTCCAGAGGCTGGTAGACGTAGCGGACACTCTCCGTCTCCACAAACGTGTGCTGCTTCCCCGAGCCTATCAGCTTGGGGAAGGCTCCCAGGAGCCCCTCCACTCTCGCCCTCGTCATCTCCACAAACTGACGCGACAGGAGAGCTGGGAAACCAGGGAGAAGTGTGTGTGCATACCCCAGCTGAGAATTTAGCTAGAAACTTACTGTGAACATGCAAATAATACTGTACCAAAGTAGTCAATTATACAGAGATACTGATGTTTACCTTTTGCCCTGCTTCGTGCACACGGCTGCCGCTAGTAGACCTGAGCAGGACATGAGGTGGGCTTCAATTGGAATACAACACATAGACCAGCACGCTAGTCCGTACTGAGATTCGCTGGGTTAGAATACGTCGACTTTTCACTCACCATGTCTATCACAAATATAATTTACGACTGATATCTTAATACTTGTCCTTCAAGAGAAAGTGAGACATCAGCTGGTGAAAACGACGTACTACTCGCCACGTCGTCGTCGTCGCGTCGTAACGCTGCATACTATCGCATGCGCAGTTTGAGGCGTTGTGCTGTGCTCAGCTAGCTTGTAACAAACGGGCCAGACTAGCTGTGGGATGGAAAAGGCTGAGGGCGACGGTTTTCTCCCGCACATCCAGCCGTGGGACGAACGTGCTGCAGCGCTGTCCTCTACTCTGCTACTCATACAGGCCTGTGCGTCTGTGACGTGGCCGCTGTCGTACCTGGTCTCGGGAAGAATTGCCGACCCTTTCGCCAGCGACGTCGAGTCAGGTCGCACGCCGCTCGGAGTCGCCTGCGAGGCCGGCCACATCGAGGTGATCAAGTTTCTGATGGAGAGAGACAAGGAAGGACTAGCTGTTAGGGGAGCAGGCGGGACCACTCCACTCCATGTCGCTGCCAAGGGAGGTCACATTGAGGTGGTCAAGTATTTGATAGATGAACAAGGAATGGACCCTTCTTGTGAAGATGAAGACGGATTCACTCCTCTTGACTGTGCACGGACAAACAAAATGAGGAAGTTTCTGCTTAGCCGTGGAGGGAGAGGCTCAAAGACGTACAGATCTCGTCGCCACCGGTTCACCGAGCTACCCTCTCTCCCTCTACCTGAGACCCCAGTTAGTTCTCATCTCAGCACTCTAATGCATTGTATTGGGTGTTTTATCCCTATCCAGAGCCCAGCCTTACCTGTCCATGAAGTAGGGAAAGAAACCACAAGTGAAAACCAAACGTACACCCTCCAACCTACCATGCAGCAGACACTGTCAGGTATGGTTAGGTAAAAACGAAAGAGGTTGTGTATAGTTTTGCTGGGATTTATGTAATTAACCCTCGGCACGCATGCGCAGCGAGGGGTTACAGTACTTGGTCTGTGTGTCTGTGAGTCTGTGTGCGTCTGTTCCCACATTTCTGCCACTAGGCGCAACGAAACCGCCAAAAAGCAATGCCAACAGGTTCGGTGCTACATTGGCTTGATTTTCAAAGTAGCGATTTTCGTAAAAATTACTGCGTTAAAAAGTTATGGCGTGATAACCAAGTGAACAGGCCAATATGCAAATACACGTGGCTTACCTCGACTTAGATTCCACCTGCGTTGTGCACTGTGAAGCCATCAAAAGTTACGAGGGAGGGCGAGAATCGAGTCCCGCCATTAATAGCTGTCTACCTATATACATAGCCTTGTCAGACTCTCAGTGAGATAGCGAGAAACCATCCATGAATCGACAGTGTGGCCCAACGGTGTACTGACCCATGCATGCATATTGGTGTTTCAATGACACGCGCACGTTTCTAGTGTGCCGAGGGTTTGCACTTTAGTGCTTTTCATCTTGTTATGATCACTCTAATACACATGGGTACGTTGTAGAGATGTTCATCTGGAAAAATTCCAACTTGTTGACCTCTGCCTGTCAAAGTTAAAGCGCTACGGCATTGGCAAGAACCTAGCATGTGCAGCTGGTGCACAAACATGGAGGCCAGCTCAATAGTATATTACAGAAGGCACTGGTACCCTGGGCAACGCATGCACGGCACTGCACACATCAGGACAATTCCCCCCCAGTCCGCGCATGCTCACTGCTGAGTTAGCAATAAATGGCGTCGTTATTGTCTACCATGGAAGAGCTCCGCGATCTATCAAGGTGATTTGCAACAAGTAAGAAACAATCACTTGGTGGCCGTGCACACTTATGTCAATTCAGGAGATGTCACTTCTAATGGTACCCAAGGCCCTAGCCCTAACCCTTCGGCAAGGTGATACTTCAGAAGTTTATGATGATGATAACACGAAAAAATTTCCTATGACTGAACTCTAGCGTGGAGACCTGAGGGCACGTACATATATAGCTAGATATGGACACATACTCTATTGCTAGTGCATAGCAAGTCATTCTCGCAGAGTTTTGAGGGATTTGACCTGTACCATCCCTTACATAGAGTGTATACTGACGCTCTAATATACCCGTAGAGCTAGTGTTCTATACCACAGAAAAAACTCGTCCGTCTGTTACAGCATTGTCTACCACAATGCGCATGAAATCGACCAAAGAGCGATAGTAACAGGTTTATTGCTACACTGGCTTCATTATAAAGAAGGTGATTTCCTGCGTTCAAAAAGTTATGGCGTGAAAACCAAGCCAACAAGCCAATATAATATGCAAATTGCCACTTATTACCTTGAACGCCGTGGTGTCATTGGAAGTTACAACGGAGGGCGAGTGTCGAGTTAGTTTAGAGACCATGACACAAGTTAATTGGAGGGTGACCACGACAGTGTAGCGCATAATATGTATGGCAGGTGTAATGCATATACTCGGCAAATCCGCACAGTCCGTGCGTCTAGTGCGCCAAGGGTTTGCACTTTAGTGCTTCTCTATCTCCCTACATACACATTCAAGGTTCATCTGCTCTACTACAAGCCAGTAGAAATGGTGATCTTAGTCAAGTCAAGTACCTTGTCGAGGAAAGACATGTTGATCCACATTCTTGTGAAGATGAAGCAAAACACTCTCCCCTTCACTTGGCTTCTCGTTATGGTCATTTAGACATTGTAAGGTATTTAGTGGAAGAAAGAAACTGCCACACAGAGTGTAGGACTAAGTATGGGGACACTCCTCTTCATCGTGCTGCACTGGGAGGTAGGTTAGATACAGTGAAGTACCTGATCAATGAAAGAGGCTGTGACCCAATGTGTAGAGGTTGGAAAGGTTGGACTCCTCTTCACTATGCATGTGAGAGTGGCAGACTGGACATGGTGAAATATTTGATAGAAGAGAAGAACGTCGATTCCTCGTGTCAGACTGAGGGTGGCATTCTTCCACTCCACATTGCTTCCAGTAATGGTCACCTGCCAGTAGTGAAGTTTATGGTTGAAGATTACCGTTGTGATCCTGGTGTCAGAGACAAGTCTGGGGTGACTGCTGCACAATTGGCTCAGAGGAGGGGCCATGGTCACATATCTTCATACTTGTTTTACGTAGAGAAGATTGTCTCTAGTGAGTTCACCATAGTAAGTTGGTACATTGCATGACTATGATATACATATTTCCATTTTCAGCTGTCCTCCGGAGGACTCTTGTGGATCGGCTTAAACCATTCACCAGGAAAGCCAAGCAAACCGGTGTAGTCTTGGGTAGTGGAAGATATGGCACAGTTATTGAACTGACATCAGCTGGAGAGACTGTGGCAGGGAAGGTTTTCAAACCCACTTCCGCCGCACAGCTGCAGGCAGTCGCCTCCAAAGTTTGTGGAGAAGTGATGACAATGCTGCAGCTTAGACATCCCAACATTGTCCAGTGTAAAGGAGTAAGTTTACTAGTAAACTACCCCCTTCCTGTTCTTCTGATGGAGCGACTGATGACCAGTCTCCATGCCTACCTCCTACACCAAGACAACTCCAATATTCCAGTAGAGAGAAAAGTGTCCTTTTTACTAGACACAGCTAGAGGACTGGACTATCTTCACAGCTGCACACCTGCCATCATCCATCGAGACTTGACTACAAGAAATGTGCTGCTGGACTTCCAGCTCACGGCCAAGATAGCAGACTTTGGTAACTCACGGATCATGGACCTTGACCCAAATGCCACTCCTCAAACTTTGACTGCTATAGCTGGCACTCTGGACTACATGCCTCCAGAGACAATGGGAGGTGGTTTGAAGTATGATCCCAGTCTTGACGTGTTCTCATTTGGACATTTATCGCTCTTCACTCTCATCCAGTCTCCTGTACGACCGCTTCTCCCTTCCACATATACTGATTCCACAACAAAAAGACTAACTGCTCGTAGTGAAGTACAGAGACGTAAGAAGTTTGTGAAGAGCGCTGAACAACTCTTGTCAGAGAGCCATTCTCTACTGAATCTTATCAAACAGTGTCTCCATAACCAGTCTGCTCTCAGACCTCGAACTAGAGAACTGGTTACAAAACTTTCTGAAATGAAGAGTACAGGTGAGTGATTGATCACTTCAAACTCTTGTATTTGCAATGTCGTTCATTCTTATCAGACCACATTGGTGAAGGTAGTCTGTCGTCCACTTCAGCAGACACACACTCAGTGAGAGATCCTGTTGGGACCAATACAAGTGAGACCGATGGCTGCAGCAGAGTTTCAGGTGCCACTAACACGTGATCCTGTGTTTCTATCACTAGCTGTAGACTAATATTACACAAACATTTGTAATTCCAGAAAATGTTGTCATGGGAAACCTGATAAGGCTGTCAACTGCTAAAGGGAAGCACATTAGGATAATAGAAACAAGTGCAGTGAAATACCGAGACATTGGAACCATCCTTCTGAAAGATGACACTGGGGCAATAGTCACGAGTATACAACAAACTGCACTAGATAATCCAGTTGAGGCTGTTAGAATGATATATGAAAGATGGATACAAGAAAATGAGGACCACTCATGGAAGAAACTGATCCTGTGTTTAAGAAAAGTTCGGCTAAACTCGCTTGCAGGAGAGATCGAGCAACACTTTACACTTCCTTCTCCCAGTACGTAGAGTTGAAAGCACAAGTTACATACATATGCCATCTTCTTCATTCCAGCTCAGTCACAAGCTCACCCTTCTCACCAGATCATTGGAAAGGCAGACGAAACAGTCAGTGAGGATGATACAAGTATGCCTTCACATCCTCAGAAATTTTTCTTATGTATTCAAGTATAATTATACTGCTGTTTTTTCAGAGAGGGGAGCACAAACTTCGAGATCATCGGGTTTAAAAAGATCTGCAGGCAGTGCCACTGGGTCACCCTCATCAACACGGAAACAAATATGCACAAGTCTCAGTCAGGGTATGTGACATAATTATGATGTCATTCTATATAATGACATAATAATGAATAGTTCTTTCATAATTGCAAGCATTCATGTATGCAGGTCTTGAGACTAAGTCCTGCAGGTATGGCAGGCACTGTCTAAACCTTTCTCTTCATTACAATTTATTCCCTTCAGCCTCCCTACTGCAGTCCGAGGGAGGCCGGAAACGAAAGGGAGTAACACAACCTCCTAATGAACCAACTCCAAAAAGATGTGTCAGCAGTACAGTGGAACATCCGAGGAGAGTGACACGCTCTTCAGCCTCTTTGAAAAAGAAGTGATGTTACATGCGGACATGGGGACTTTAGCTGGCTATGAACCTTGTGTTTCTTTGAACCTGTTGTATCCTAACCTCTGTCTTTTTCTAAAACATAAAGATCTTCAACCTCTCAGAATGAGAACGGAGGCGCTGCATGCCATTGCACGAAGGAACAAGACTTACAGCTACAAAGCTGAAAGTGGGTCTGAGTGAATCACAAGAAAGCATGTGCAATCTAACGACATCTTGTATGATGACTGAGAGTAAGATCAAAGGAATTCCAGCTAGTCCAAACAACGTAGATGCGTAGCTTAGTGAGCGCTTCCTGCTCAGTCTACGGGTAGTTAGAACATAAAGAGGCCATACAATCTCCCCATACTTTAGCTGTATGTCAACTCATTTTCATAAACCACAGTGGGTCTACAGGAGTTAGACGATAGTAGGAAATTGGCAGCGTGGAATGCAATTAGGGGCTTTACACTGTTTGTGTGCTGCTGTTTCTTTACCAGAAGGGAGTGTTTTCAAGCTAGAATGGTCAGAAACTGCTCTAGTATATATACGCGGTCTGAAAACTAGCGAAAGCTGCTTTCCGACGCGTAGGCTCCCGTAGACTGGAACAGTATGTGACTTTCAGCTTTCTTGCTACTGCAACAGGCTGCATTCGAGAATGCTGGGTATAGCGGGAGAGCCCCTAGCGGCAGCTACAAAACTCGTGTGGAGTCTAGCAGCGAAAAGTACGTATATACCTGTAACGTTGATCTCTCGAGGAATGACCATGGCTTCTGCACAACCGCCCAGCTTGACTAAACTAAAGCGCTTATTGCAGCTGTCTCTCTCCCGATCGATTGCTAGCTAGCTCTCTCCCTGTCCCCACGGCCGAACTTACACTCGATGGTGTGCGTTAAAAAGAGGGCGTTTTGAAAACTTTTGCGCAATCTCATTGGTCAGACAGAGCCTTACCGCCGGATGTCATCATACAAACACGTTATACGATGGCATTCGCTTGTGGTCTACTGATTGCACACTCGTGGCTTCAGTTTTGATAGACCACTCGGGCTACGCCCTCGTGCCCTATCAAAACTGGCCACTCGTGTAAATACAACCAGTAGACCACGCGCCGCCATCGTATAACCAAGTGTCTCACTACAAATGAGCAATCTGCTGTGTAGCTGTACAGCTAATGTGTGTAGTTGAGTCATCACTGGTTGGTGTGAGTCTGGACCATCGCTCTCTCCTCACCCTCCTCCTTTCGTCTCTGTCCTCAGCGATGAGAGGGAGAGAGTGTCTGGCAGAAGGCAGGTCACCCCAGAGTCAGGTGAAGCCGCCCCATGACCGACAGCTAGCTGGTTCCTCAGTCCTGGCAGCAACTGCTTTTTTTTTTTTATTGGATACGATGGTGCCAGGTAATCTTCGCCACGGCAATAGATTCCGGCTCACACCGCAATTTAAGACTCAGTTCAGTTGGTTCCATCGTCTGTTCTGTGCACACCAACAAGGGAAAGAAACTATATGTGCAGTTGATGTCTCAGTCAAGTGTCTTCACACAGCGCAAGTCTGCTTGTGTAGCTCTCCAGTCCTCACTGGTTGATGTGAGACTGACCATCACTTCCTCTCATCCTCCGCCTTCTCGTTCCTGTCCTCAAGCAGGGATGATCGCGTGGTCTGGGCGAAGGAAGGGTCACCCAGAGCAGGTGAAGTCGCCCCAGGAACGACAGCAGCTGGCTCCTTCAGCCCTGGCAGCCCTACGAACAGACCCTCATACACTCTACTGCAACAGGTGATCCTGTACAAAACAAGGCGAGAAACTGTAATCGTCAGTCTTCAACGAGTGTGGCCGTTGTGTACTAAAGATGAATTACCAAAACTAACTGCAACTGGGGCCCTATTGATACTTCTGGCTTATGTAATGTTTGCCATTGTGGAGTTCTACCTTCTTGTCCCTTTGTTACGAAATATCCCTCCTTCGTTTGTCATGCGCCCTATCTCCCTTGCCCTCTCGCCTCTCAAACGCCTGATTAGAGCTCTTTGCTTTTTATTTCAAGACACGTGCTCTTATTTGGCTGCGCTCAGTGAACGACCGTAGCTCCGATTCCTTCCATCGTTCCAATGCTGGAGGCACGGTTTCCCGAACGCGGAATATAAAGCTTGTATATACCTTGGGTCCGCTGACTCCCCGCCCTAAGGGACATCACCGCATCAAATGGGTCGTCCATAGTTCTATATCTTTTCTATGTGGTTGAATGCAAGTGAAGGATTTATGACTTGTGTGTGTGAATTCTGTTCCAAATGGCGTTCTTCGTAGTCGTTCCGTGCTGCGCTTGCCAGCCCGCTCCGTCGAGCGGGTGGGATGCCGATTAAATGCACCTATCCCTTATCATTTAGTTCACTTCATCGTGCCGGAGGGGACAACTGGGTAGCTCATTCACGGCCCAATTATGGGTGGTCTTGTCAAGCTCCAGTTCTGTACCGTGTCGTTCGTATATTCCGTCAAAGCACCTCGAACTACCGTTTTGTCCCCCCCTCCCGAATCTGCACTTCCTTCTTTTCCTGCGAGACCGCATTATTCCTTTGAAATTTTCACGCAAAAATCTTTCTAGTTCTTTTTCTACTGGGTCTTGGAGCGTTGTTCGCTCTTCTGTCGTGAGGGCGCGTGGCCGGCGGACATCTATACCCGGGATTCGGGGGATTACAAACATTGATACGACCGGCCAACTTTAGGAAATAATAAATCATCCGCCGGTCTCGGCAAGAGGTACGTGATGCATCAACTTCTACACCTGCAGTAACAATTTATATTGTGCTTTAGCTACCCCCTTACCTTCTGTGAGATCAAGGCAAAAACCACTAAATTTGCTCAATTCCTCCATAAATTCTACCTTTCAGACGCACTTGGACCCCGCAAGGCAATTCCCTTCATGGTGGCGTGAAAAGTACCTTACCTGCATGGCTACCAGCAGTGTAGCCAGACAGAACTTGACTCTGGTGAAGTCTCTCCAGCCACAGAGATCTCTGCCAACTGTAGTTTATTCAGACTTTAGTTTCACATTCAGCATATCCGGCATACCACCTATATATACATACCTTGTTGGTCATCTGGAGTGAGAGGCTCAGTTACAAAAGTAGTAGCCCCATCCTCACCTCTGACAGCACCTGTACACACAACAACGTGCTAGGTGAGCAAGAAATTCTCAGTTTCGTAGTCACACAAGACTAATGTACTGACAATCTTCTACTCTCGGACCTTGCAACATGCAGATAACACACACACTATTTGCTGGTGAAAGGTCTCATGAAATTTCAATGAATGGTGAAAGTTATGCATCATGTATGTTGGCTCTTACAGTACCACTATTTAGCCGATCATCTGCCCATTCTACTCTTTGTACTATGACAAAATGCACACAGCAGTGGATGAAAATTGCTACATTGTATGCCTCCAACACACTGAAACCTGTACACAGTCTTCAGTAAGAGAATGGGCTGCATTATAAGGCTGACCTGCTGACAGGTGTGCTGTAGCTGGCACAGTCTGTCCAGAGAGAGCTGATGGTTTCCAGTCAGACCTGGCAGCTGAGCGTGGAGCAGTCTCATTGAGATGGCACCATGCTACCTGAGGGTGTGGGAGACACAAAGACAAAGAGTGAGGGAGGGAGGAATTAGGGAACGAGAACACGTGTAAGCTACACACACTTGCTCACAAACTTAGCAGTGTGGGTAGAGAAGGATGTATTACGAACTGAAAAAATACTAGTGTGGCAGCCATAGCATTTTGGCCACCCAGAGCAATGGGCAGAACCTATGGCAGAGGAACCTGGAGTTTCACTCGGTAAGGAATTTGGTTCACAAAGCACACAAGCAACTACATGAAGAAGTACACAGAAGATGACAGCTACTGGAGCTCAGTGCGTTGAACTGACCGGTCTTGTCGGGGTAGTTTGTGTGTTGTACTGGTAGAAGAGGTCAGGGTTCACCAGTTCGCCAAATGCCTCCATCTCGACCTCGGCCTCCCTGAACTGCTGCATCACCACCAGGAGAGCCAGTCTCGCTCCCCACATCTGCACAGTGTAACACACAGTCTCGCTATGACAGCTTTATACATGTACATTGTACATAACCACTAGAGTTCACCTATCACACATAATTATATACACTAAATGGTGAACGAACGTGAGTAAATCATTTCAGTATGGACAGAAAAAAGGTGCAATTCAGACAATTTGGCAGGCAAAACTCTCATCATAATATGCATAGAAAGGTGTGAGAGGTGCACTTTCTTTAGCTGCAGGTCATTGATCCAAGTCTTTGCACTACGAACTGACCACTCCAGCGGCACATCATGTGTGCATTACGTGTCCAGGAGAGGAGTACCTGTAGGGTCTTGTGTGTGTGGAGACTGGGCTGACCGAGGCCCTGACCGTGAGCCGACAGGAACCTCCCAGTTAGCTCCAGTGCTGCGTGGTAGCACCCCTCTCTCTGTGGTAGGGAAGAGAAGAGAGACTGTGTGTGTTCTGCGACTGAAAAAAAACAAAGACTACTGAATTACAGATGCTTGTCGAAAACGAGGTCATGAAGCAAAGCAAGGGCAGCAGAAAACACTTTTATCAAAACACTTTTATCAAAGGGAAAACTTTTGACCTACATGTGAACGCATGAAGTATGTACAACTCACACACACTGCAAAAGTTGGTGTTCGAAAGTGTAGGTCTAGTTTCATTCCTGCTTAATGCATTCACAAGAATTCAACACACTCGATCCTCTGACCGTTCTGTAGATTTTGTTATAAACTGACATGTACACAACTGACCACGAGCCTGCGGAGGCCGGCCATGTCCATGGCAACACTCTCCATTGACGGCAGAGTCTTGCGGGACTCTGCGGGAAAATCGGGCTGCCAGCAACTCTGCTATTGGATCATGCTGAGGGGAGGGAGAGAGAGCAGAGGTAAACACAAGTTACACGTAACTCATGTGTACTGCATCAAGAACACACAGCATGCAGTTCATTGTAACATGTGCGCACATACAGCTACATGATTCGGAGACGAAGACAACGGGGCAGCAGGCAATGAAAGGAGTTACAGAGAAGAGAGTTTGAACCACACTTTCCCTTAAACTAAAAACGATAAGTTCTGACCATATTGATGTCTGCCACCAGCCCGGGGCAGGTGAGGTGAGACTGGTCCACTGGTGTCTGACGAGACAGGAGCCCCAGAGTCCAGGGACTCGGGACCCAGGCCGTGTACAGAGCCTCCTTCACTCCTGCCACCTCCTCCGGGTAGGGCGATGGGACAGGGGGGAGAACCCTGGGCTCCGGACCAATATCGCCCACTCCTTCTCCGCCTAGAGTTTGGGACTCTTCTTCCCCATCTCTGTGAAGGTGTGAGGATGTGAATTGGGGAGGAGGGGGAGGAGGGAGAGGGAGGGAGAGGGAGGGAGATGAGGGGGTCGGAGAAATTAGAAAGAGAAATACGACAGAATATGATATAGGTGAGATGAGATAAAAGAAATAAAGACGACAACACACATACAATGAAGAAAAAGAAGAGAGGGTTAATAAGTCAGGTAAGAAGTCAAGGAGGGACAATTGTGTATAAGGAGTGGCATAAGGAGTACAGTGGAACCTCTGATAAGGGACCCTCCGAGATAAGAACGACCTCTCCTACAAGGGACACTTTTTCATCTCCATGCTTGTACTTCAGTGGTCACCAGCAACATGTACAGTCTCTCCAGAGGCTGGTAGACGTAGCGGACACTCTCCGTCTCCACAAACGTGTGCTGCTTCCCCGAGCCTATCAGCTTGGGAAGGAGCTCCCAGGACTCTCCACTCTCGCCTCGTATCTCCAAAACTGATGCGACAGGGAGCTGGGAAACCAGGAGAAGTATGTGTGTGAATACCCCAGCCAAAGAATTTAGCTAGAAGAAAACTTACTGTTGAACAGTGGCACAAATTAATAAAAAATTAAAATAAAAAACTAAAATCAATTACTGTACCGAAGGTCCAATTATAAGGATACTGAGTTTACCTTGCCCTGCTTCGTGCACACGGTGCCGCTAGTAGACCTGAGCAAAGAGAAACGAAGTGGGCTTCAATTGGAAACAACACCATAGACCAGCCCGCTACACGTACTGAGATCGCGGCGGGGTTAGAATACGATCGATTTCACTCACATTCTATCACAAAAATATAATTTAAGACTGATATCTTTAATAATTGTCCTTCAGAGAAGAGAAAAGTGGAACATCAGCTGGTCAACACGTCCATCGGGCCACCACCACCCACGTGTAAGATACCGGCATCATTATGCGCATTGCTGTTGGGGGAGGTGTATTTGTGCTGTGTCAGATGTAATGTAACCAAACGGGGCCAGAGACGAGCTTTGTAGGATGGAAAAGGCTGAGCGGGGCCGGTTTTCTCCCGCACATCCAGGCGTGTAGACGACGTGCGCAGCGCTGTCTCTTATTCCTTCTACTTCAGGCCGTGCGTTGGTGAGTGGGCCCGTGTCGTTGATCCCTGCGTCTCGGGAAAGAATGACGACCCTTTAGCCAGTGACGAGGTCAGGTCGCCCGCCGCTCGGAGTCGCCTGCGAGGCCGGCCCAAATCGAGGGTGATCTCAAGTTTCTGATGGAGAGAGACAACCAAAGAAGGATTAGCTGTTTAGGGGAGTCAAGACACATGGGATGTTTTAGAGATGTTATCTGGAAAAATTCCAAGTGTTGGACATGCCTGTCAAAGTGAAAGCACTACGGCAGTTGGCAACGAAACCTAGCATAATTTTGTAATGACATTAGTGGGAAAGCAGGCATCTTTGTACTAATGGAGGTAATTATGAAAGCTGGCACAAAAGATGGAGGCCAGGTCAATAGTGATACGTAGCTACTAATACGCTGTATATGTGTGGACGTCTAGGGCAGCGCCAGCCCCACAACAGACTGTCGCAAAGTTGCAAACCAAAGCGAAATGCAGGTTTGCTCCACAGGGTATAGACCAGTCTGCTTATGCTTACTTAGTACAGAAGGCCACTGACGACGTGAGAGTTCGCAAAAGTCTGTTCAACCCCAGCCTGGGCGGCAACGGGTGATGGCACTGACACCACATCAGGGACAATGCCCCCCCACACTGAGCTAAAACGTTAGGCGGGCCATGCGGGGCGGACCTCATAGAACAGAGTACAGGGAAGTGGACCGGGTAATGTTTGTAGAAAGTGCTTGTATGCCTAAGAAGGGCCAAAGTGCATAGAAGCACAATGTAGCAAGGCGTTTGATGCGATAGCTCCAATGAATTTAACTATAACAACAGCACCATTTAGCCACCAACGTCCATCTCCAGCCCTGCCTGTAGCGCATGCTGCTCACTGCTGAGTTAGCAAAAATGGCAACTTCATTGTCTCCATGGCAGAGCTCACGTATCAAGGTGACTGCGACAAGTAAGAGACAAAGAAAACAATCACTTGGTGGCCGTGCACACTAGGTCAATTCAGGAGATGTCACTTCTAATGGTTACCCAAGGCTCTAGCCAAAGCCCTCGGTAGTATTACTTCAGAAAAGTTTATGATGATGATAACACGAAACAAAATCGGGAATTGCTATGACCGAACTCTAGCGTGGAGGAATGAGGGCACGTAAATGCTTAGATCTGGGACAATACTCTAGGGCTAGTGCATAGAGAGGTAATTCTCCCCCCCCGCCAGATTGAGGCGTTGGAACGCAGAGCCGTGAGATTTACCTGTACCACCCTAACATCGAGTTTGTCTACACCTGGAAACCCCCCCTAATCATCTGAGTATTATATTATGTAGGGCATCAGAATGATCATACATGGCTGCCTGCACATAATTGCGAACTAACGAGGCCTCTAGTCGCCTGTATGTGGAATTTATACTAGTAAAAATTTAAACACATCACACTGACACGCGGTCTAGTGCGCCGAGACGTTTAGAAATTTCGGCTTTGAACACGTAATTGTTATGCTATCACACATTCAAGGTTATCTGCTCATACAAAGCCATAGAAATGTTGTTGATCTTAGTCAAGTGAAGTACCTGGTTGAGGAACGGACATGTTGATCCACAGTCTTGTGAAGATGAAGCGAAACAATCTCCCCTCACTTTCTTCTGCAACTTGGTCATAGTAATAAAAATCATTGTAGCTGTAGTGGAAGAAACGAAACTGCGCACAAACAGAGTTTGTGTACGGACTAAGTATAGGGAGCACCCCTCTTCATCTTGCTCTGGGCAGTGGGAGGTAGGTATAGATACAGTGAAGTACTGATCAATAGAAGCAGAGGCTGTGACCAAGTGGTAGGAGGTTGAATGGTTTGACTACCTCTTGACTATGCATGGCAGCCGATGGCCGACACGGACAGGGTGACATATTGTTGAGTGAAGAGCGCGAGCGCGAATCTTGTGTCAGAGGGAATGGTTTATTACTTACTCCACTTCATGTTGCAGCTTGGCATGCACCCTGGATGTGGTGATATACCTTATTGAAGAAACGACGTTGTGTTACGATAGTGTAGAACTAAGTTAGGAAGCCTTCCAATTCAGTATGCTGCACTGGGAGGTTAGGATTAGATCACAGTGAAGAGTACCTGATCACTGAACAGAGAGTGACCTATTGTCGAGAGATGAGAAGTTGACTCCTCTTCACTCTGCATGTCGTGGGGGCAGACTAGACCTGGTGAAATATTAGATGGAGAGAGAGAACGTCATTCTTGTGTCAAGATGGGAAAAGTGCCACTCGCACTAATGTAGTAGTAGCTCAGCATGCACCACTGAGGTTGTGAAATACCTCATCGAGGGCACAAATTGTCAGGATAGGTGGTAGAAGTACATTAGGAACCTTCCGCTCATTCTGCTGCAACTGGGAGGTAGCGTTGGATCCAGTGAAGGAAATGCCTGCATCAATGAAAGAGGCTGTGACCAATGTGTCTAGTGCGATGGTGTGGACTCTCCGCTCACTATGCTGTACCGGGTGGCAGACTGGACACAGTGAAATATTGATAGGGAGAAGACCATCGATTCTTTGTGTCAGGTGGGAATGGTGTTACTCTCCACTTCATTTAGCAGCTGTGAATGCACCACCTGAGGTTGTGAAGTACCTTATGACGAACGTACGTTTGGTGATCATAGTGTTACAATCGTTAGGAAGCCTTCCAATTCATCTGCTGCACAGGGAGGTAGATTAGATCAGTGAAGTCTCGATCAATGAAAGAGCTGTGACCCAATATCTAGAGCGGAGAATGGTTTGACTCCTCTTCACTATGCTGTGCGGGTGGCAGACTGGACATGGTGAAATATTTGATAGAAGAGGAGAACGTCGACTCTCGTGTCAGAATAAGGGTGGCACTCTTCCACTCCACATGTGCTTCCAGTCATGGTCACCTGCCAGTAGTGAAGTTACTTGTTGAAGATTACCATTGCAATCCTGGCGTCATGGACAAGATGGATGACTCCAGGACATTGGCTCAGAGAAAGGACCATGTATCTCGAGATATCTTCATATTGTCATCCATTGAGGAAGGCAATCCCTAGTAAGTTGGCAGTCAGTTTTGGGCGGGGCAAATCTTCTTAATCACTTCCCAGGGTGGCACTTCAGGGAGCCTATAGTAAAAACAATGCACTAATGTCCCTGTCTCATGCATGTGTAGGTATGAAGCATTATAGCAACCTTCTTTGTCTATAGGTGAAGATGGTCCCTCCTTTATTCCAGACGACACATCATTACTCAGGGAGTCAGAGGACGCCAGCCATGAAGAAGTTGAAGGTATGTAACATTATGAGTACGTAGTTATAGCAAAAACTCCTATCGTGAGAACGCCTGACTAAGCCCATCTCATCAGTTCCAATACGTCATTTAAGTTTCTGCATGATAAAGTTCATGTGGTTTGCTGTCTCTCTAAAATATAAGTTAGAACCGGAAGCGAGATTGGTACGTGACATTGTTGTATTAGCTCAAGGAGTTTGTTTTACAAATGCTAATTGACACTAATAATTAACTCGGCGCGCATGCGCAGCGAGGGTTACAGTACTTGGTTTGTGTGTGTCGACACTTATTCTGACACCACAGGCTACGAGGATACCTATTGGCGATACTAACAGCTTCAGAACTACGCGAACCTGAAAATTAAAAAGGCAATTTTCCTTGAAACGACTGTGTTCAAGGAATTGCCGTGATAACAAGCGAAAAGCCAATATGTATAATCGCACTGGCTTACATCGACCTGATACGCTCGCTCTGTGTCCCATCATTTCTATGGGAGTCATCCACGTATATGAGCGCAATTGCGTTCTGCGTGCTCTATGGTGTTAGTTTGACGAACTGTAGGGAACAACTATTCCAGTTTAGACATGCCAGCTACATGAACACGGGGACAGAGACATGCAACTTCCTACAATTTGTCAAACTAACCCCGTAGAGCACATAGAACAGTCCATTACTTGCTTGTGTTTGCTCAAAAAATTGGCTACATGACTCAAGATCAACTTTAGTCTAGATTTGACGTACGTTTGATGCGCCATCACTACATTTCTATGAGCCTTTTCGGATCGACCCCTGTAGTCACTTATTAGATACAAGCTACTCACACCTATGATAGCTACGTGGCTCAATCATAAAGATGGTTTGTTCGGGTTGTGTAGTCATGATGCAGCGTTGTTGCTTCATTAACACAGAATCGTTTCTCCATAATCTCGAGGAGGCAATGAAGAAAGGCTATGTGGTAGGTGAAGCTGGTGAAGGTGATAGTAGTGGGTCCCTGCAGGTGTTGGTAAAAACCTGCCTCATCTACCTCCTCCTTGGTAAAGACCCACCAGACAAGAGACACAGCACCGGCTGTGCTGAACGATCAATACGAGTGATACGCATAGGCAAAGAAGGAGAGGAGTGGAGTGAAATATCCACTGAAGAGTTCATGAAGATGATTGCAGAAGCAGTTCCTATTCTCTATAGTGAGCTTACGGCCACAAACAGAACACCAGAAGAAGAAGATAAGATGAAGAAGAGGTGAGTGGTGGAGGGATTGAAGTAGCTATGGAGAGTGAACCGGTTGAAGAACATGAACATGAGATAGAGGGAATGGTCGGAGAAGGCATGAGTGAGTTTGACAACTCTGCTCAACATAGTGCTGATCAGGGTATGGCTGAAGACAAGAGTGATAATAGTGCAAAGAGTAGAAGAGAAGTCATTAAAGATGTGATTCAGAGACTTACAAAGCTAGTGGACAGTGGCAAGACATCACGTCGTCTACTCGACATGGAGATGATCTACCTAACAGACTGTGGAGGCCAGCAAGCCTACTGGGATCTTGCTCCAATCTTCATGCGTGACACCGCGGCCACACTCTTTGTCCACCGACTGTGTGAGAAACTTGATGAATATCCTCTCAATGATCTGTACCAGAGTGGGAAAAGAGTTGGCGATGAACAGAGAGCTAGACTCACCACTGCACAGGCCTTCAAGACAATGCTTCAAGGACTACACAAAGAGGAAAATCGTTCAAAGATAATTGTTGTTGGAACTCACAAGGACTTACTTCATGAATGTGGTGAAAAACCAGGAGATAAAAATGATATATTGAAAACAATTGCATCACCACATTTTGACGATGACGTGGTTTTTTGCAATGAAAGTATGAATGATGTTTTATTCCAGATGAATACGAAAACCCCAAATGACGAAGATAAAAAAGAGGCCGGCAAGATTAAAACGAGCGTCCACAAAGTTGCCACCTACCACAAGATACCAATCAGGTGGTTTATTCTCCAGAGAATTCTTGAAGCCTTGGCAGAAAAATTGAACAGAAAGGTCCTCACCAGAGACGAATGTGCCCATGTCTCAAACAGTCTGGGGTTTACTGAAGGAGAGCTTGAAGCTGCACTATCCTTTCTTGACAAACTGAACATTTTTCTGTACAGGAAAAAGATTCTCCCTGATTTAATATTCACTGACGCTCAGGTGCCTTTGGATAAGTTGTCGGCTCTTGTTGAAAGACATCATTGCTTGAAAGTGGCAGAGAAAGCCCCAGCAAAAGCTATTGATGTAGCAACAAGCGGCTGCAAGGAATTTAGAGACAAAGGAATTCTTACTGTCGAGTTTCTGAAAGAGTTTAAAAAGCACTATGTGAATGGAATATTCACCGCAAACCACTTTATCACTCTACTTGAAAAGCTGCTCATTGTTTCAAAATTGCCAGAAAACAAATACTTTTTTCCAGCAATTCTGAATTGCACCAGAGAATCTCAAATAATAGACAGTCTCACAGCTTCAGAAATATCGCCACTGGTGGTGGAGTTCCCCACAGGCTGGGCTCCTCCTGGTGTCTTCTGCTGCAGTGTGTGCCACCTTCAGACACAGGCTGGCTGGGAAATCAAGACACCATCCAAATATGATAGCGAAAGATGCACCAACACGACAATTCACGCAATTCCATCACCTTTACGAAATGTTCCACACCTGGTTCAATGACATTCATTGACAACTTCTCATTCTTTGCCATCTGTTTGAATGTTGACACCAGAAAAATAGACGGAGATAGTCTCATCAAGCACTGCGAGATGGTAAAGTTAGATGTGTTTGCTGCCGTCAAAGCAGGCCTAGAGAAAACGCATTCACACTAAGTCAAAGTCAGATGTGTTTCCTGCCGTCAAAGCAGGCCTAGAGAAAATGCATCACAGTAAGTCATGCCCGAAGCCTGCCTTCCTCTGTCCAGCTCATAATAATCTTCAAAACACTGAACTGCATGTGGCACACATCTCTGAGACAAAGCAATGGATCTGTAGTGAGAATCACCATGAATTCAATAATCTTACTCCAGACCAAACGGTGTGGTTTGGTGGACCAGGTAATTATAATGATTGCACATTTTTAGCTCTGCATACATCTCTCTATCTCTCGGTTTTGCAGCTCCAGCCCCACTTCCACAGCCTTGTGGTGGAGAAACTATATCCCAAACAAACACAACAATTCTTGGTTAGTTTTTATTTTTTTATTTCTCTTACAAGTATTCACTGCTTTCAAATACATAGGCAAAGAAGACTTGTTTGATGTTAAAAAGGAGTTGCAGCCAGTAATAACCAGATGGAAACACATCGGACTGGCCCTCAGACTGGACCCTGAACAACTGAAGAAGATAGCGAGAGAGAACAGAGATGATATGGATGACTGTCTTATTGAAATGCTAACTCTGTGGTTGAATAAAAATTATAACACTGAAAGATTTGGAAATCCGTCATGGGAGCTACTGGCTAGTGCAGTAAAGGACCGTGCAGGAGGGAATAACGCTGCACTTGCAGAGACAATTACTCAAACATATGGAGGTATAATACTTTCATGTGTTTTGCAGTTTTCAGCAAATCTCCCTTCTATATATACCTCTCCCTCTTAGGTGGTGTTTCCCCCTCAGCTCCAGCTCCATAGCTGGTGCATTTCTTCTCAAGGACTCTGTATGTGTTTGTGTTTGGTGTGTGTGTTTTTCCATGTTTGTTGATGTGTGTGCGTGCAGTTTGTGCACGAGTGATGTGGGTGTGTGTGTGTGTTTGTGGGTGTATTTGGGTTTACTCGTCGTATTATATGCATGTTGCTGTACTAACCACAAGCCTATAGTGCAGCATCATATGGACATAACTTGTGTTTTCATTTACCTGTATACACCACCCAACACTCTGAACCTATTCACTGTGTGAGATGAAAGACTAACCTGCCAAGGAGTCTGTTACATTTCTGCCCAGTTCTAAATCAGAAATACAGTGAAAAAAGAGGGCAATTCTACTTTGGCAACGATCAAAGGGAATGAATGAGGTGTCTTATACATACTTGGTATCCCAAGAGGAGTTTGGAACAAACAACACGTGCTTTAAATCGGCAAGTTGATCTGAACAATCAATCTTTGTCACACTTATATACAAGGGAACCAAAGCTGAAATCCACACCAAAGTGTGTGCTTGAAAGGGAGAAATTGGGCATTATTACTCCCCCAACTGCTGACTTTATTGGCACAAACTATGTGCATAAATTGTGCTGCTTCGTCGGGCTAAAAATGGCCTTTACATTCCAAAACATATGCTCTTGCTCCAATCCACCAATCAAACACATGTGTAACGATTCGGAATGGGCTTAGCACCCCATTTGAGGTCAAATTTTGGGTGAAGTCATGATATCGGAAAATCAAAAAGCCAACAAAATGTGACAACACCGAAGCATCAGAAACACCAGTCAACTACATCTCACGTAATTCTCTCACATTCACCAAGCGTGGCAGGCTTGGCTCAGTGACATTAATCGACAACTTCTCATTCTTTGCCATCTGTGTAAACGTTGATATCAGAAAGATAAATGGTGAAAATTTAGTCAGACACTGCGAGACTATCAAGTCTGAGGTGTTTGATGCGGTCAAAGCAGGTCTACGCAGCACTCACCACGCAGACACTTCCCCAAAGCCTGCATTTGTCTGCCCAGCTCACCAGGAGGATACAGATATATCTTCTGATCTCTCTCCACGTCAGACTGTGTGGCTTGGTGGACCAGGTAACCCAGTGTGTTCTGTACATGCACATGAAGACTCTTTTCCCCAATGTTTGTTTTCAGCACCAGACCCCCAACTTGTTCTTCAGGATCCTACCCAAAAAGCAGACATTGGTCAGTTCAATCATAGAACAATTTTGTATACCTGTCACTCAATCTCACAGGCATTACTTCCACAACTTGCTTTGATCTTTGTTCCTCTTACTAACCTATAACTGTGAAGATTCTTAACTATCGTGTTTGCAGGACCAGAGGTACCGAAACCCCAACTTGTTATTCAGGATTGTACCCAAAAAGCAGACATTGGTCAGTTCAATCTCCATTTTCCACTGTCATTCAACCTGACAGGTACTTTCATAACTCGTACTGAAAGCAGTCCCTTGTTCCTCTTATATCTAAAACTGTTCTTTTATAGGTAAAGTCAGTCTGTCATCCATTGCAGATGAAACACACATAGCCTCAGAGAGGCAGGAGTCTGACTCAAGTAATACAAAGAGCTGTGGCAAAGTTTCAGGTGCCACTAACATTAATTTTGATCCTGCATTTTTTATCACTCGATATTGCAGTGTATTGTAGCCAGGGTGCATCTTTGTGTCGTTGCAGGAAATGTTGTAATGGGAGACCTGATGAAGCTATCAACTTCAAAAGGGCGACGCATAAGGGTCTTGGAAAGAAGTGCAATGAAATACCGAGACATTGGAACCATCCTTCTGAAAGATGACACTGGGGCAATAGTCACGAGTATACAACAAACTGCACTAGGTAATCCAGTTGAGGCTGTCAGGACGATATATGAAAGATGGATACAAGAAAATGAGGACCACTCATGGAAGAAACTGGCCCTGTGTTTCAGAGATATCCAGTTGAACCCTCTTGCCAGGAGCAACGCTTTGGACTTCCTTCACCTTCTGATCGAGGTATTCTTGGTTGCTCTCATGCAACCTTGTGGGATGTGTGTTGTGCGTGGTAGATGATGTACAGGTTAGAGCTTGACCGAGTACTGAGAACATGTATTTTTGTGGCACTTGAACGTACAAGGTCTAGTTGGCGAGCATATAGCCAGCAAGTGTTTTGCCTGAATACAGAATTTATATGCTGTGACCCACACTGCACATACTGTAAACACACAAAAATTGAACTGCTTGCTTCGCTCACCAAACATGCCTTGCATTGTGATTAACAATGTTTAACTGTACTCTTTAAATACACACACATGTTCTAGTGACACAGGTGATGGGCGTACCAGAGAGAGATACCTCTCAAGACAAACAGTTCTCCAAAGAAAAAGATGTGCCGGCAGTGTCTCTAGCCAACCCACAGGGCGCACTCGTTCATCAAAACAGAGACACAGAGCATCAAGCATCAGCAGAGATGGTAGGTACTACAGTGTTGATTTACAGCACAAATATATCACTTGTTTCCCAACTATGTAGGTCTCGAGGCCAGAACAATTGGAAGTGAAGGAGACTGTCACTCCAATGGACACAGGTATGGAGATACAACTCCAGAGTATCAAAATTTAGAATTTTTCCCCCTCAGCTTCCCCACCGCAAGCTAAGACAGGACAGCTGAACCCTCTTGCCAGAGATATTGAGCAACACTTTGCATTTCCCAGTACGTACAGTTCAAAGCACAAGGACGAAACAGTCAGTGAGGATGATACAAGTATGCCTTCACATCCTCAAGAAGTTTTTTTTATGTATTAAAATTTATTATACCACTGTTTTCAGAGAGGGGAGCACAAACTTCGAGATCATCGGGTTTAAAAAGATCTGCCGGCAGTGACACTGGGTCACCCTCATCAACACGGAAACAAATATGCACAAGTCTCAGTCAAGGTATGTGACATAATCAATGCTCCGCTCTGTGTCTGTCTGTCTGTCCGTTCCACGATATCCCACTTCACGAGCCATCAATCGCTCCACAAACAATACTACGTATTCAGTGAGAAATTCATTTTGGTGGAGTTGAGGATAAAACTTTCATTATGATTACCAGGGATCCAGAGTCTTTAGGTTTGTTCCTAGCCTGTCTGGATAACTAATTGAAGCATTTACGCAACAAAAAATAGGCCACTCCCTGAGTTATTTTTTGCCCAGCAGAGCACCACGTTTTGATGAATGCGTAGTGTCCAATAGTTTTGCTAATGTAACACAGTATTACTCATACAGCACATTTTTCAATATGCGGTATATGATACGAACGGCTGCCAAACGAGACTTTCAGGCCCAGCGAAGGGAGAGTAGTAGGTGTATTGGTTCAGGTGGAGGTTAGCTAGCACAGCTCTGTGATGGCTAACGGAGGGCCTCATTACCACTGGCTTACCTCGACCGCATTCCAAGACTCTTTTCTCCAATGTTTTGTTTTCAGCACCAGAGGTACCGCAACCCCAACTTGTATTTCAGGATCGTACCCAAAAAGCAGACATTGGTCAGTTCAATCTCCATTTTCCCCTGTCACTCAACCTGACAGGTTACTTTCATAACTCGTATTGAAAGCAGTCCTTTGTTCCTCTTATATCTAAAACTGTTCTCTTATAGGTAACGTCAGTCTGTCATTCATTCCAGATGAAACATCAGAGAGGCAGGAGTCTGACACAATAAGTAATACAAAGAGCAGCGGCATAGTTTCAGGTGCCACTAACATTAATTTGATCCTGCATTCTCTCTCCCTTTAGCTAACCCCTCCCCTTCTATCGAAGCAATGCAGGAGCAGTCAAATGGAGGTATTGCTCTGGATACTAGCAGATTTAGGTCACAGTTGTCCCTTTCTGCAGATTCTATGAGTCAAGGCAGTTTCAGTTCAACAAGAAATGTTCCAGTAGTGACACAGACTTTAGGTATGTAGTGCTGCATATACCCAGCGCTTCACTTCACTTGGTCTATATACAGGAATTGATGACTTGTTTGATGTTAAGAGTGCGTGTGAACCAGTGACTGCCAGGTGGAAATCTCTTGGACTGGCTCTCAGACTGAGTCCTACTCGACTGGATGTGATAGAGAAAGAGAACAGAAGTCTTGACGAGTGTCTAACTGGGGCCCTGACTCTGTGGCTGAATAAAAACTACGACACTAAGAGATTTGGAGAGCCATCATGGGAGCTGCTGGCCAAAGCTGTTGGTCATCCTGCTGGAGGAAATAACTCTGCACTTTCCGAGGAGATTCGTCAAAGACATGAAGGTGCATATTTGTACGTATGTGACTACATTTACTCTCTGTGCATATTATTGTGTTAGAGGAGCTAATGCATGCACATGTAAAGGTGCTGCACATACTGTAATTTGGGAAATTTTCGACCTGGGGTACACTCATAGACATGATACTTCTGGTTGGCCCTTGAACATGCAATGGCAACACTGAAAGTAAAACGTAATAATCTCAAATGTATGGGTATAACATAAACCTGCCCTTTACCCTCTAAGGACAAAGAGGGTAAAGGGCATACTGGAGAATAACGTATAAATGGTTTTTCGCTCTTCAGTGCGTACTCTGTACTTTCATAATCAGCACCAGCTTAGCTTGACCAGGTTTAGTCCATTCAGGGCACTGTGGAGGGATTTTAAGTTACTCATATATAATTTATTCTTAGTCACTCTCATGCAACATGTAGCTATCAAGAGCATAGTTCGCAATAATGTGTTGTGGATTAGATTATGGCTAGACTGAGTACAAAACTGAGAATATGGATTTTTCAAATGAAAGAGGTCTAGTTAACAGTATGATGATTAATGTTTACTTTACACACACACGCTCTAGTGACACAGGTGTTGAATGTATCAGAGAGAGGTACTTCTCAAGACCAACAGTTCTCCAAAGAAAAAGATGTGCCAGCAGTGTCTCTTGGCCACCCACAGGGCGCACTCGTTCATCAGAACAGAGACACAGAGCATCAAGCGATGGTAGGTACAACAGTGTTGATTTACCGCACAAATATCACTTGTTTCCCAACTGTGTAGGTCTCGAAGCCAGAACAATTGGAAGTGAAGGAGACTGTCCCTCCAATGGACATAGGTATGGAGATACAATTCCAAAGTATCAAAATTCAGTGTAGAATTTTTTCCTCAGCTTCCCTACCACAAGCTAAGACAGGAATGAAACGAAAAATGGAGGCAGAACCTTCAAATCCAAGAAAAGGTCGACGGATGAGTGATCAATGAAAAGGACACACTATTCAAGAGTCACAGAATCAATAATTTATGTAGCTGCCCTCCGTCTTGTTATCATCTAAGAACAAGAGCGTTCTTATTCTATGAGTCTGACAGAATCAACATTATGCGAAAGATCTGCACATGCTCAAACAAACACACACATTAATGCATGTCCAGTCTCATCTAAGACCGAGAGAGGAGAGGGGAAACCCCTCCCCCACATGTTGTCCCAAGAGAGGGAGGAAGGAGAGTTTCTTGGAGTGGGCGGAGCTAGACTCGAGGTCGTAGGTCGCCGTGAGGTTGGTGAGGAGGGCAGGCTGGAGGGAGGAGGGAGGACTCCATCTCACCACTCCCTCCAACTCTCTGATACACTGCGGGAAGGGAGAGGTGACGACACACTTCAATCATTGATTGCTATGTTCATGTTCTGTGCTAACTTAGCATTCAGTAGCCAAGCTTCACGTCTATGACATTTTGGTGTGTGGACAGTCTATAAAGGTGAAGAAGGCTCATTGACTGAAACATCGTTTGGCTATTGAATGCTCAATTGTCAACTTGAATCTCCTCTCAGTTGCTGCCATCACTTTACCATAAGTTGGAAGCACCTTATTACTTGGACTCTAGTAATAACACCATTGTTATGATGTGCTACTATAATTATGTGGGGAGACACTGACCTCCTTGAGGTATCCCTGGTAGAAGGTACACACAGCAATGTTGTTCTTCAGAGTCGTGTTGGTGGGCTCCAATTGGAGTGCACTCTCGAAAGAATCCTTTGCCAGCTGCCAGTGACACAGAAACACATTCACCAGTCCTCTGTTTGGAGGAAGATGAGAGAGATGGAGGAGAATGAAAGACTACAGCAATATATAGAACACCATAAAGGTTGTCATAACTGTTGCATATGATGTGCCATGTATCAAGACCCAGCCACAAGCCTACAGGAACAGATTCAGGCTCACACAGCAACAAGACCCAGTTCAGTTGGTTTCCATCGTTTCTGTTTCATGTGCCACCAACAAGGGAATAACTTTATATATTTGGCAGTTTATCTCAGTCAAGTGTCTTCACTACAGAGGAGCAATTCACTTGTGTAGCTATACAGCATGTGTGTAGTTAAGTCCTCACTGGTTGATGTGAGTCCTGACCATCCTCTCCTCCTCCCCCTCCTCATTCTCGTCTCTGTCCTCAGCGAGGGAGAAGAGGGTCTGGGCAGAAGGCAGGTCACCCAGAGTCAGGTGAAGTCGCCCCATCACGGACAGCAGCTGGCTCCTCAGCCGTGGCAGCTCCTCTAACAGACCCTCATACACCTCTACTGCAAACAGGTAGTCCTGTACAAACAAGGGAGAGAGACACTGTATATACTCTTCAGTCTTCACTGGAGTGTGGCAGTTGTATACATGAAGGCTGAATTCTTATTGCACTGGGCCCTATTGATACGTCTGGCCTTATGTAATGCCACCTTCCTGCTGGCACAAGGCAGAAACCACTAAATTTTGCTCAATCCCATCAATTTCAGATGGCAACCCTCGAAAGTCATATTCCCTTCATGTTGCGTGTGAAAAGTACTTACCTGCATGGCTACCAGAGTGTTAGCCAGACAGAACTTTACTCTGGTGAGTCTCTCCAGCCACAGAGTCTCTGCAACTGTAGTTATTCAGTACTTTTAGTTTCACATTCAGCATATCCTGCATACACCAGTATATATACATACCTTGTTGGTCCTCTGGAGTGAGAGGCTCAGTTACAAAAGGTAGGTAGCCTCTCCTCACCTCTGACAGCACCTGCACACACAACATGTGCTAGTTGAGCAAGAAATTCTCAGTTTCGTAGCCACACACAAGACTAATGTACTGACAATCTTCTACTCTCGCATCTTGCAACATGCAGATAACACCCACACACTATTGGCTGGTGAAAAGTCTCATGAAATTTCAATGAATGGTGAAAGTGTGCATCGTGTATGTTGGCTCTTACAGTACCACTATTTAGCCGATCACCTGCCCATTCTACTCTTTGTACTATGACAAAATGCACACAGCAGTTGGGGTGAAAATGTGCTACATTGTATGCCCTCCAAACACTGACAACCTGTACACAGTCTTCAGTAAGAGAATGGGCTGCATTATGAGGCTGACCTGCTGACAGGTGTGCTGTAGCTGGCACAGTCTGTCCAGGGAGAGCTGATGGTTTCCAGTCAGACCTGGCAGCTGAGCGTGGAGCAGTCTCATTGAGAATGGCACCATGCTACCTGAGGGTGTGGGAGACACAAAGACAAAGAGTGAGGGAGGGAGGAATTAGGGAACAAGAACACGTGTAAGCTACACACACTTGCTCACAAACTTAGTAGTAGGGGTAGAGAAGGATGTATTACGAATTGAAAAAATACTCGTGTGGCAGCCATAGCACTTTGGCCACCCAGAGCAATGGGCAGAACCTATGGCAGAGGAACCTGGAGTTTCACTCGGTAAGGAATTTGGTTCACAAAGCACACAAGCAACTACATGAAGCAGTACACAGAAGATGACAGCTACTGCAGCTCAGTGCGTTGAACTGACCGGTCTTGTCGGGGTAGTTGTGGGTGTGGTACTGGTAGAAGAGGTCAGGGTTCACCAGTTCGCCGAATGCCTCCATCTCGACCTCGGCCTCCCTGAACTGCTGCATCACCACCAGGAGAGCCAGTCTCGCTCCCCACATCTGCACAGTACAACACACAGTCTCACTATGACAGCTTTATACATGTACATTGTACATAACCACTAGAGTTCACCTGTATCACACATATATACACTAAATGGGGAACGAACGTGAGTAAATCATTTCAGTATGGACAGAAAAAAGGTGCAATTCAGACAATTTGGCAGGCAAAACTCTCATCATAATATGCATAGAAAGGTGTGAGAGGTGCACTTTCTTTAGCTGCAGGTCAATTGATCCAAGTCTTTGCACTACGAAACCTGACCCACTCCAGCGGCACATCATGTGTGCATTACGTGTCCAGGAGAGGAGTACCTGTAGGGTCTTGTGTGTGTGGAGACTGGGCTGGCCAGGCCTGACCGATGAGCCGACAGGAACCTCCCAGTTAGCTCCAGTGCTGCGTGGTAGCACCCTCTCTCTGTGGTAGGGAAGAGAAGAGAGACTGTGTGTGTTCTGCGACTGAAAAAAAACAAAGACTACTGAATTACAGATGCTTGTCGAAAACGAGGTCATGAAGCAAAGCAAGGGCAGGTACATGTAATGTAATGTAAAAACACCAGAAAACACTTTTATCAAAACACTTTTATCAAAGGGAAAACTTTTGACCTACATGTGAACGCATGAAGTATGTACAACTCACACACCACTGCAAAAGTTGGTGTTTGAAAGTGTAGGTCTAGTTTCATTCCTGCTTAATGCATTCACAAGAATTCAACACACTCGATCCTCTGACCGTTCTGTAGATTTTGTTATAAACTGAGATGTACACAACTGACCACGAGCCTGCGGAGGCCGGCCATGTCCATGGCAACACTCTCCATTGACGGCAGAGTCTTGCGGGACTCTGCGGGAAAATGGGCTGCCAGCAACTCTGCTATTGGATCATGCTGAGGGGAGGGAGAGAGAGCAGAGGTAAACACAAGTTTACACGTAACTTATGTGTACTGCATCAAGAACACACGGCCATGCAGTTCATTGTAACATGTGCGCACACACACGCTACTTGATTCATTCGGAGATGAAGACAACAGGGCAACAGGCAATGAAAGGAGTTACAGAGAAGAGAGTTTGAACCACACTTTCCCTTAAAACTAAAAACGTAAGTTCTGACCATCTGATGTCTGCCACCAGCCCGGGGCAGGTGAGGTGAGACTGGTCCACTGGTGTCCGACGAGACAGGAGCCCCAGAGTCCAGGGACTCGGACCAGCAGTCCGTGTAACAGAGCCTCCTCACTCCTGCCACCACCAGTCCTCCGGTGAGGGCGATGGACAAGAGACCCTGGTCTCCGGACCAATATCGCACACTCCTTCACGCTGAGTCTGGGACTCTTTACCCTCCTGTGCGTGTGAGATGTGAATTGGGAGGAGCTGAGAGGATGAGGGAGGGAGAGGGAGGGAGCTGAGGGTCGGAGAAAGTAGAAAGAGAAATACGCGATCTGAGATGAGGGTGAGATGAGATAAAAGAATAAAGGCGACACACACATACATATGAGAGAAAGGAGAGAGGTTAATAAGTCAGGTAAGAAGTACAGGAGGGACAATTGTGTACTAAGGAGTGCATAGGTGAGTACAGTGGAACCTCTGATACGGGACCCTCCGAGATAAGACGACCTCATTCTCTACAAGGGACACTTTTCATCTCCATGCTTGTACTTCAGTGGTTCACCAGCAATGTACAGTCCTCTCAAGAGGCTGGTAGACGTAGCGGACACATCTACCGTCTCACAACGTGTGACTGCTTCCCCGCGCTATCAGCTTGGGTGTGGAGCTCCCAGGAGCTCTCCACTCTCGCCTCGTCACTCTCCACAAACGACGCGACGGGGAGCTGGGAAACAAGGAGAAGTATGTGATGTGAAACCCCAGCCAAGAATTTAGCTAGAAACTTACTGTGAACATGCAAATAATACTGATACACGAAGTAGTCAATATACAGAGATACTGATGTTACTTTGACCCTGCCTTCGTGGCCACACGCCGCCGCTAGTAAGACCTAGCAAAGAAACGAAGGTGGGCAAAGTGGAATACAACACATAGACCAGCACGCTACCGTACTGAGATTGCTGGGTTAGAATACGATCGATTTTCACCACCATGTCTATTCACAATATAATTTAAGACTGATATCTTTAATACTTGCTCCTTCTTCAAGAGAAAATGGACGAAACATCAGTGTACCGACTCGGCACCTTCATTCATTATGCGCCTGCCGCAGTTTGGGGAGGCGTTTTGATGCTGTGCAGCTTGCTAAACAAAAGGGCCAGAGACCGAGCTGTGGGATGAAAAGGCGAGGGCGACGTTATCCGCCACACTCCAGCGTGAGACGACGTGACGCGCGCTGTCTCTGACTCTGCTACTCATACAGGCTGTGGTCTGGTGACGTGGCGCTGTCGTTGACCTGGTCTCGGGGAAGAATGCCGATCCCTTTGCCAGCTGACGAGTTCGGTCGCAGCCGCTGGAGCGCCTCGAGGCGGCCCACATCGAGGTGACAGGTTTATGAGTTCTGTGGAAAGAGGACAAGGAGGGCTCAGCTGTTAGTGGAGCAGGCGGGACACTCACTCACGACAAGGAAAGGCTGTCAGGTATGGTTAGTTAAATCGAAAGATGTGTATAGTGTTGCTGAGATTTATGGATTGTGGTGCGCAGCGGCAACGGAGGGGTTGCACTGAGTGTCTGTGAGTTGTGTGTTTGTTAACCACCATATCAGCCACTAGGCGCAACGAACCTCCAAAAGCATGCCAACAGGTCGCGTACATTGGCTTGGTTTTAAAACTAGCGAAAATACTGTGTCAAAGTTATGGCATGATAACCAAGTGAAAACAACCAAATGCAAATACACGTTGCTAACCTCGACTTAGATTCCGCCGGCGTGTGCACTGTGAAGCCATCAAAAGTTACGACAGAGGCGAGAATCAAGTCCCGTCATAAATAAGCTGTCTACATAACATAGCCTTGTCACGTGACCCAGCGGATGTATGACCCACGCATGCATATGGGGGTTGCAATGAACGCGCACGTTTCTAGTGTGCCGAGGGTTTGCACTTTAGTGCTTTTTTTCTTGTTATGGTCACTCTATACAAATGGGATGTTTTAGAGATGTTCATCTGGAAAATTCCAACTGTTGACACTGCCTGGTTCAAAGTGAAAGCACTACGGCATTGGCAAAAGAAACCTAGATAATTTTGTATGACATTAAGTTGGGAAAGCAGCATCTTTGTACTCCTGGAGGTTTATGGAAAAGCTGGGGCACAAGATGGAGCCAGGTCAATAGTGTATACGTAGTACTCCTGACGCTGTATATGTGTGTACGTATGGGCAGCAGCCAGCCACACAGGACTGTCGCCAAAGTGCAAACCAACAGCGAAAGCAGGTTGCCTTCCCACAGTGTATAGACAGTCTGCTTCTGCTTACTAGTACAGAAGGGCCAATGACGACTGAGAGTTGCGCAAGTCTGTCAACCCCAGCCTGGGCAACGGGTGAATGGCACTGCAAACATCAGGACAATGCCCACCCAAACTGAGCTACAACGTAGGAAGCCATGGGCAGAACCTAGAAAGTACAGGAGTGACCTGGGTACATGTGAGAAAGTACTTTTATGCCTAAGAGGGCCAAAGCTGCTATAGAAGGCAAATGTAGCCAAAGCGTGTGATGCGATAGCTCAATGAATTTAACTATAACAACACGCGTCACCATTTAGTCAACAACTCCTCTCAAAGCCCTGCTGTAGCGCATGGCTCACTGCTGGAGTTAGCACACAATGCGCATCATTCATTGTCTACCATGGGAAGAGCTCCACGATCTATCAAGGTGAACTTGCGACAAGTAAGAAACAATCACTTGGTGGCCGTGCACAATTATGTCAATTCAGGAGATGTCAATTCTAATGGTACCCAAGGCTCTAGCCCAAGACATTCCGGAGGTGATTACTTCAGAAGTTATGATGATGATAAACACGAAAAATCGTGAAATTGCGTATGACCGAACTCTAGCGCGGAGACGAGGCACGTATAAATGCTAGATATGGACACCCATATCTATGGCTAGTGCATAGCGAGTCATTCTCGCCGAGATTGAGGCTTTGTACGCAGAATCACGTGAGATTTAAACCTTGTACCATCCACTAACATAGCAGTGTCTACACCTGGGAAAACCCCACTAATCATTCGAGATATTTAATATTATGTAGTTGCATCAGAAGGATTCATACCATGGCTGATGCCACATAATTGGCGAACTAAGCGAGGCCGCATAGTCGCCTGTATGTGGCATTTATACATGTAAAATTAAAACAAATCACACTGGACCCGCGGTCTATAGTGCGCCGAGAGTTGCATTGTGCTTCAACACGTAATTGTTTATGCTATATCAACATTCAAGGTCATCTGCTCTTACTACAAAGCAGTAGAAGTGGTGATCTTAGTCAAGTGAAGTACCTGGTCGAGGAAAGACATGTTGATCCACACTCTGTGAGATAGCAGCGACACAAACGCCCTCCCCTTCCACTGGCTGCTGCATCGTTAGTCACTTGTAGACATTGTCAGGTATGTAGGGAAGAAGGAAACTGCCACACAGGAGTGTCGACTAGTATGGAGCACACCTCTTCATCTTGCATGCAGCGAGGTAGGTTAGATACAGTGAGTACCTGATCGATGAAAGAGGCTGTGACCCAATGTGTAGAGGTTGGAATGGTTGGACTCCTCTGGACTGTGCCATGAGCAGAGTGGCAGACTCAGGATCATGTGAAATATTGATGGAAGAGAAGCGCGTCGATTCCTTGTGTCAAGATGGAGAATGGTAGCACTCCACTTCATGTTGCAGATTGGCATGCCCAAGGAGGTGGTGATATACATTATTGAAGACGACGTGTGACGATAGTGTTAGAAACTAAGTTAGGAAGCCTTCCAATCATTATGCTGCACTGGGAGTAGGTTAGATACAGTGAAGTACCTGAATCAATGAAAGAGGAAGTGACCTAATGTCTAGAGATGAGAATGGTTGGACTCTTATTCACTACTGCATGTCGGTGGCAGACTGGAATGGTGAAATATTTGCTGAAGAGAAAGAACGTTCAATTCCTGTGTCAAGATGGGAAAGTGGCACTCCACTTAATGTAGTAGCTCAGCATGCCCCCACTGGCGGTGTGAATACCTCATCGAGGAACAAAACTTGTCAGGATATGTTAGAAGTACAATTAGGAAACCTTCCGATCCATTCTGTGCACTGGGAGAGGTAGGTGGATACAGTGACGTCCTGATCAATGAAAGAGATGTGAACCCCCAGATGTGTAGAGGTGAGAATGGTTGGACTCTCTTCACATGCATGTAAGGTGGCAGATGGACACAGTTTGAAAATATTGATAGAGGGGGGGGGGGGAAGAAGAACATCGATTCCTTGTGTCAAGGTGGGAATGGTGTTATCCACTTCATTTAGCAGCTTTGAATGCACCACCTGAGGTGTGAAGTACCTTATTGAAGAACCGACGTTGTGATCATAGTGTTACAGTACGTAGGAAGCCTTCATTCATCTTGACTGCACAGGAGGTAGATAGATACAGTGAAGTATCTGATCAATGAAAGAGGCTGTGACCCATATCTAGAGATGAGAATGGTTTGACTCCTCTTCACTATGCTGTGGGGTGGCAGGACTGGACATGGTGAAATATTTGATAGAAGAGAAAGAACGTCGACTCCTCGTGTAAGACTAAGGTGGCCACCTTCCACTCCCACATTGCTTCCGTCATGGTCACCTGCCGTAGTGAAGCTTACTTGTTGAAGATTACCCATGGAATCCTGGCGTCAGGGACAAGAATGGGATGACTCCAGGACAGGTGGCTCAGCGAAAGGACCATGTCGAGATATTCTTCTATTTGCATGCATGGAGAAGCCATCCCTAGTAAGTTGGACAGTCAGTTTTGCGGGCAAATCTTCTTAATCACACTTCCCAGGGGGCACTTCAGGGAAGCCCTAGTAGTAAAACCAATGACACTAATGTCCCTGTCTCAGCATGTGTAGGTATGAAGCATTACAGCACCTTCTTTGTCTATAGGTGAAGATGGTCCTTATATTCCAGAGGACAACTCAGTTACTCGGGAGTAGAGGACGCCAGCAATGAAGAAGTTGAAGGTATGTAACATTATGTACGTAGTTATAGCAAAACTCCTATCGGGAGAACGGCCTGAGCTAAGCCCATCTCATAGTTCCAATCGTATTTAAGTTTCTGCATGATAAAATGTTCATGTGTTGCGTCTCTAAAATTAATTCGAACCGGAAGCAGATTGTAGTGACATTTTTGTATAAGATTCAAGGAGTTTGTTGTGCAAATGCGTAATGACCACCCATAAGTAACCCTCGCGCGCCTGCAGCAGCGAGGGTTACAGTACGTGGTTTGTGTGTGTCGACACTTATCTTTTTGTCTGATGCACCACAGGCTACGAGGAGGGCGGCTATTGGCGATCTAGCAGCTCAGAACTACGCGAACACCGAAACTTAAAACGGGCAAGTTTTCCTGAACGACTGTGTGTCACGAGATATGCCGTGAAACAAGAGCGAAAATAGCCAAGAGGTATAATCGCACTGGGCTTACACAAAATCGACCTGATACGCTCGCCCTGTGTCCCATTCATTTCGATGGAGTCATCACCACGGTATATGAGCGCATTGCGTTTCTGCGTGCTCTACGGTGTTAGTTGAGCGACTGTAGGAAACAACTATTCCATGTTTAGTAGACATCAGCTGCATGAACACACGGGGACAGAGACATGCAACTTCCTACAATTTGTCAAATAACCCGTAGAGCGTAGAACAGTCCATTACTTGCTTGTGTTTGCTCACCAAAAATTTGGTTACATGACTCAAGCATAGCATTTGATGCGCAATCACTACTTTCGCCTTTTTGGATCGACGCTGTAGTCACTTATTAGTACATTCAAGCTAACTCACACCTACGTATAGCTACATGGCTCAATCATAAAAAGGCATGGTTTGTTTCGGGTTGTGTAGTCATGATGCAGCGTTTTGCTTCATTAACACAGAATCGTTTTCCAAATATCTCGAGGAGGCAATGAAGAAAGGCTATGTGGTAGTGAAGCTGGTGAAGGTGATAGTAGTGGGTCCTGCAGGTGTTGGTAAAACCTGCCTCATCTACCTCCTCCTTGGTAAAGACCCACCAGACAAGAGACACAGCACCGGCTGTGCTGAACGATCAATACGAGTGATACGTATAGGCAAAGAAGGAGAGGAGTGGAGTGAAATATCCACTGAAGAGTTCATGAAGATGATTGCAGAAGCAGTTCCTATTCTCTATAGTGAGCTTACGGCCACAACAGAACATCCAGAAGAAGAAGATAAGATGGAAGAAGAGGTGAGTAAAGGAGGAATTGAAGTAGCTATGGAGAGTGAACCGGTTGAAGAACACGAGATAGAGGGAATGGTCGGAGAAGGCATGAGTGAGTTTGACAACTTTGCTCAACATAGTACTGATCAGGGTATGGCTAAAGACAAGAGTGATAATAGTGCAAAGAGTAGAAGAGAAGTCATGATGATGTGATTTCAGAGACTTACAAGCTAGTGGGAAGTGGCAAGACATCACGTCGTCTACTCGACATGGAGATGATCTACCTAACAGACTGTGGAGGCCAGCAAGCCTACTGGGATCTTGCTCCAATCTTCATGCGTGACACCGCGGCCACACTCTTTGTCCACCGACTGTGTGAGAAACTTGATGAATATCCTCTCAATGATCTGTACCAGAGTGGGAAAAGAGTTGGCGATGAACAGAGAGCTAGACTCACCACTGCACAGGCCTTCAAGACAATGCTTCAAGGACTAGACAAAGAGGAAATCGTTCAAAGATAATTGTTGTTGGAAC